GCTGGATGGAGAGTTTTTTTCCCCCTGCAGCCCATGATCTAGCCTGTGGTGAGGCAGGCTGTCCCCTGTAGCCCATGGAGGTCCATGGTGGAGCAGATATCCACATTCAGCCCAGTGAGGACCCCATGCCAGGGCAGGTGGATGCCCTGAAACAGGTTGTGACCCTGTGGGGACCCCATGCCGGAGCAGGCTCCCGACAGGACATGTGGAGAGAGAGGCCCATGTGGGAGAAGGTTTGCTGGCAGGACTTGTGACGCATGGAGGACTCGCACTGGAGCTGCCTGTTCTGGGAGGACTCGCGCTGGAGCAGTTTGTAGAGAACTGTCTCTTGTGGGAGGGACCCTACACTGGAGCAGGGGCAGGGTACGAGGAGTCCTCCCCCTGAGGAGGAAGGGGTGTCAGAGGCAACATGTGATGAACTGACTGCAACCCCCATTCCCAGTCCCCCTGCACCGCTTGGGGGGGAGGAGGTAGAGAAAATCAGGAGCAAAGTTAAGCCCGAGAAGGGAGGGGTGGGGGGAACACGTTTTAAGGTCTTGGGGTTTTTTCCTCATCACCCTACTCTGATTTTAATTAGCAATAAATTAAACTAATTTCCCCAAGTTGAGTCTGTTTTGTCTGTGATGGTAATTGGCGAGTGATCTCTCCCTGTTCTTATCTCAACCCATGAGCCTTTTATTATATGTTCTCTCCCCTGTCCAGCTAGGAGGGGAGTGATAGACCAGCCTTGGTAAGCACCTGGCATCATGCCAAGGTCGCGCCACCATAAATGGCTATAGTTATTACAAGATCACAGTGAATGACTGCTGTGGGCTTCAGTGTGGATGACCTGCTTTCCAGGTTTATGGTGAAATTTTAAACTGTGTATACATAACGTATTTTTCTTCAAATGGACTACGAATGGAAGAATTATTTTCAAATTATTAGTTTGAACTTTAAACCATTGTTATAAACGAATAATTGTTAAAATGGTTTTTTTATTATTATTATTTTTTCCCCAGCTGTAGCAGAAGTGAAACTTCGTGATGATCAATATACCCTTGACCACATGCGTGCTTTTGGAATGTATAATTATCTTCACCTTGATTCCTGGTACCAGGATAATGTCTACTATGTTGATCAGTTTGGAAGGGTTATGAATCTTTCAGTGACTCTGGTAAGAATAAACTTTTTTAAAAATTACTGAATTTGAAAAGATGGGGGTTAGATAAGGTAGAAAATACAGCAGGTAGGATCCAAGTGCAAAAACTGGGGGAAGGTATTGCCGGGAAGACAGGTAAACTAACAAAAATGCAGTTCACCAGGAAGGATGAAAAGATTTTAAGTGAGGTTTCCAACATCTTTTCATTGATAGTATTGCATTAGTATTGCAATAGTGTTGCATCTGCTTCCATTCTGGGGAAGATAGACGTGGTGACAAGCTGAAAAAGAGTAGACGCTTCTTTTCTAATTGCTGGCTGTTTCCCCCCTGCATTAACTTAATGTTTATCTGTTTGCTAATTTGAAAATCCAGTGATTGTAAATATAAGGAGAGAAAGAAGCTGTATGCGTTAGAATTGGAAATGCAGGCCTTTATGAACTACTAGCCTAATCTGGGCATCACTTGTTGGAGGCAAAAAGTTGCTAGTGGCCCTGGCCAAACTTGAAATACAGTGTAAGCAACCTAGGCCAGGTCTGAAAAACATGACAGGCCTCCACTTTTATACAGATGTCCTCAAGTAGTTTAACTTGTATTTCTTTTGAGCCATTTTAATGCACGGGTTTACTTTACAAAGCTATGCTTCATTCTGGAGGTGAAAGGACATGGCCCTATGAACACCGTGTTTCTGGTACATGCAGTTGTAGTGCTTGGTCATTAAGGAATAAAAGACTGTGTGTAAAGGAAAATATCCATTGTCATGCTACCAAGGAATTTGACCTGTAACCCTGTGGGACAAAAGAAAACAATGAGTGATGCATGATTGATTTTTTTTTTTTGGAGAGAGTGTGGCTTACTTTGTGCAAGGTTCTGGGGGTAAAAATTACTAGGCCAGGGCTAAACTGGGAAAAATCCTGAAATGGTAGTTCTAGATTTTTCAGGAAATACAGGTTTCTGGACGGTGATAGGCTGAGAAATGAAGCTGCAAAACAGTTCTTTAGTTTTCATAGAACACAGAAGATCATCTGGGTTCCCAGTAGCAATGTCTAAAAGAAAGAAGCTTGTCAGCAAAAGCCTGCTGTTAACAGTGGCTTGTCCCAGTCTTTTGTGTTTTTTCCTTGTGGTTGGTTAGCCTTGGCTGGCTGCCAGAAACCCACCCAGGCTCTCAGTCCCCCTCTTCAACAGGACAGGGAGAAAATAAGACAGAAAAGGTTGTGGATTGAGATAAAAACAGGAAGATATAGCTATCACGGGCAAAACAGACTCGACTTTGGGGAAATTAATTTAATTTATTGCCAGTTAAAACTAGAGTAGGATGATGAGAAACAAAGTTACACACAGCTGCTGCCAGGAGCTTGCTCTGGAGCGGGCTGTCTGTGAGCTGCAGCGTGGGTATCTGCCCCATTGTGGTTGTCCATGGGCTGCAGGAGGACAACCTGCTTCCTCATGGTCTTCTCTAAGGGCTGCAGGGGAACCTCTGCTCCATGCCAGCATCTTGACTGGCAGGCTGGGCTGTACCCTGGGGTGAGCCCATCGGAGCCAGCTGGAAGGAGCTCGGGGCAGCCCCCGGCGCTCCCCATTGCCAGCACAAAACAGACACCCAGTATGCTCCTTCATTAGGAGGGCACTGAAGTGTGTAAATGTGTTTTTTAGCAGAGAAACTAGATAAAGGATTTTACAACAGGCTGTAATTTGCATTTTTATATGCAGTAAATGGAAATAATAAATATTCTTCCCTAGGATTGGTCGGTCCGTTGCAATCTTCAGGAAAACGGCACTTGATTAATATCTTGTCACAAGTTTCCGTTCTACAACTGTGAAATAAATAGCCACCATCTTGTGTCCTAATACACAACACAGTGGTGTTTTGGAAAGGAAACTTATTTGCATGTGTATAAAAAGGAGCGTGTATTCAGAAAAGTCAACAAAGTGTCTCATTACAAATGTACCTGGTTGTATATTAGTCAAATGTATATTACACATAATATTGTTTTCAGCCAAGTATACCTTACAAGTTAGCAATGGCCACAAATAAAATCAATGTCAGTCGTCTTTAAAACAGGAGGTGGAACAGGGTGACATGCTTGTCCTAAATCCAAAGTTAAAGAACACATGTGCTTGTAGACGCATAATTATTTCTAGTTCTGCTTCCTATTTCAGTTGCAACTTTGATTCATAGAATCATAGGTTGGAAAAGACCCCTAAGATCATCAAGTCCAACCTTCAACCCAACACCACCATGCCTACTAAACCATGTCCCTAAGTGCCACATCTACGTACTTTTTGAACACCTGCAGGGATGGGGACTCAACCACCTCCCTGGGCAGCCTGTTCCAATGCCTGACCACTCTTTTGGTAAAGAAATTTTTCCTAAAATCCAGTATAAACCTCCCCTGATGCAACTTCAGGCCATTGCCTCTCGTGTTATTGCTACTTACTTGGGAGACGAGACCAACCCCTGCCTCACTACAGCCTCCTTTCAGGTAGTTGTAGAGAGCAACAAGGTCCCCCCTCAGCCTCCTCTTCTCCAGACTAAACAGCCCCAGCTCCCTCAGCCACTCCTCATAATACAAGCCAGGATGCTGTTGGCTCATGTTCAGCTGGCTGTCGACCAACACCCCCAGGTCCTTTTCCTCTGGGCAGCTTCCCAGCCACCCCTCCCCAAGCCTGTAGCATTGCATGGGGTGGTTGTGACTCAAGTGCAGGACCAGGCACTTGGTCTTGTTGAACCTCGTATGACTGACCTCGGGCCATTGATCCAGCCGGTCCAGATCCCTCTGCAGAGCCTTCCTACCCTCAAGCAGATCGACACTCCCACCCAGCTTGGTGTCGTCTGCAAATTTACTGAGGGAGCACTCAATCCCCTCATCCAGACATTGATAAAGATGTTAAACAGGACTGGCCCCAAAACTGAACCCTGGAGAACACCGCTTGTGACCGGCTGCCAGCTGGATTTAACTCCATTCACCACCACTCTATTCTAATGTAGCAGTGTGTTAGTTATCCATAAATCTAAATATCCATAAATCTGGATAGGCTGGAGAGCTGGGCAGAGAGGAACCTGATGAGGTTCAACAAGGGCAAGTGCAGGGTCCTGCACCTGGGGAGGAACAACCTCATGCACCAGTACAGGCTTGGGGTGGACCTGCTGGAGAGCAGCTCTGCGGAGAGGGACCTGGGTGTCCTGGTGGACGACAGGTTAACCATGAGCCAGCAGTGTGCCCTGGCTGCCAAGAAAGCCAATGGGATCCTGGGGTGCATCAAGAAGAGTGTGGCCAGCAGGACAAGGGAGGTGCTCCTTCCCCTCTACACTGCCCTGGTGAGGCCTCATCTGGAGTACTGTGTCCAGTTCTGGGCTCCCCAGTTCAAGAAGGATGAAGAGATACTGGAGAGAGTCCAGCGGAGGGCTACAAGGATGGTGAGGGGACTGGAACATCTCCACTACGAGGAGAGGCTGAGGGAGCTGGGCTTGTTCAGCCTGAAGAAGAGAAGGCTGCAAGGGGACCTTATAAATGCCTACAAATATCTGAAGGGTGGGTGTCAGGAGGATGGGGCCAAGCTCTTTTCAGCAATGCCCAGTGACAGGACAAGGGGCAATGGGCACAAACTGAAGCACAGGAAGTTCCACCTGAACATGAGGAAGAACTTCTTCCCTCTGAGGGTGACGGAGCACTGGAACAGGCTGCCCAGGGAGGTTGTGGAATCTCCTTCTCT